TACACACAAACATTATTTATACTCAGATTAAGAAACCAGATATATTACTTCTTAGTTAAACGTCTTTTTTTAATTATTTTTTTTAGTTGTCAATGGACCTTTATTTTATTTATTTATATGTGGTGCTGAAGATGGAACCCGGTGCCTCACACATGCTAGGCAAGCGCTCTACCACTGAGCCACAATCCTAGCCCCTAAACTGTTTATTTTTATTTTCATGTTATTGCAGTATTGGGGATTGAACGTGGACATTCTCTCACTGAGTTACATTCCCAGCCCTTTCTATTTTTAATTTTGAGACAAGGTCTCACTAAACTGCTGAGACTAGCATCCTCAAATTTGTAATCCTCCTGCTTCAGCCTCTGAGTTGCTGGGATTATAGGTGTGTGCCACCATGCTGGTTTATACCAGCATGATATTTAGTATGATAAACTTTGAAATTTTTGAAAAAGAAATATATTAAGAAACATAGTGAGGAGTCCTTTGGAGAGACAAAGCTAGGAACTAAGAAGACTGGGAGATGCATTTTAGCATCCCTCACCGACAACTTTCAGGTGCAGACTTATCTTTGTTATCAGATCTGGTGTGTTATTCAGATTTCTGTTATGGTAACAAAATACCTGAGGCAATAGGTTTATAAAGAGGAAAGCTTTATTTTGGCTTGTAGTTTTGGAAGTTTCAATCCATGATTGATTAGTGTTGCGTTGGGCCTGTGATAGGATATCGTGGCCAGAGCATAGAGCAGAGCAAAGCCATTCCATTCACAGCAGGGACTTGAAAGAGAACAAGAAAAAGGGGATGGACTCACAGAATCCCCTTCAAGGGTATGCCCCCAATTGCATAAACCTCCCACTATCCTTTACTTCTTAAAGTTTCCCCTACCTTCCAGTATTCCCACCCTGGGAAACAAGCCTTTAGCACATGGGTTTTGGGGACACATTTAAGATACAAATTATTGCACCTGGATCAATAACTCGTTTCACTGAAGAAGTCTCTGACCCTGCTGCCAAGTGGCCAGTCTTACCAACGTGAAAGAAAGGCTCGATACCAGAACCAAGGAAACTGAGCCAACAGGCACAGCCCACAGCAGAATGACTGTGGGTGGCTGGAGCAGCCGTGTCTGCGAGGGTCCTTTGCTTGCAACAAGCCAAGGAGAATATTCTGGATCATGAGGCTTTCTTTCAGATCCACCATATCTTTATCTCTGGTTTGGAGATGTACGGATCTGCTGGCCACAAAGAAAAGAGGACATCCATCTCCAGCCTGTGAAACACAGACAGAGGCCACGGCTGGCTAGACACAGTGTGAGCCTTTTGGCTGGTGGGGTGTTGAGTGGGCGTGAGCTGAACTGAAATGTGGCCAGTTCCACTTTTACAAATACTCACCACGTTTCTTTTCCCTATCTTTTGTCCCCTTGCCCCCCTCCCCACACCTTTTTTTTTATTTGACAGAGGATAATTAGGTAGAAGAGAAAGACTGGGATTGAATTCCTTGGAAATATTCTTAGGTCTTTAAAGCAACCTCTGCACTGTCCAATTCCATAAGCACTAGCCACATGCAATTATTCAAATTTGAATTAATAAAAATTACAGAAAATTAAGCACTCAGATCCTAAATCACACTAACTATATTTTTAAAGGAAATAATGTTAATGATTTTTTTTTCTGTATATTCAATTACAATTCTTTGTAAAATCCATATTTTTGGTACGAGGGATTGAACCCCTTGTGCATGGTAGGCAAGTGCTCTACCATGAGCTACATCCCAAGCTAGACTAATTGTATTTTGAGTGCTCAATAGCCACATGTTATTGTAAAGGACAGATATAGAACACTGTTCTCATGGCAGGATGATCTAAATTCAACTCTAGGATTTGAGTCCCTTACAAATATTATATGGCTACTTTATTTGTCTTAGTATTTCTGCCTTTTAAAACTAATTTTTGTTTGTCAATAAAACGAAGCTAATAAATTCTTCTTCTAAGCACTGCTGAGAGTTAAATGAGATATTAACTATATAAAGCGTATATCCCAGTGCTTGGCATATTATTGTGTTTAATTTGGACACATCATCTGGTTGCAACCCTCGAGAATGAATTTATTCAGACCTGAATGGAAAAAAAAATTGTATTTTATTAAAAGTACCAGTAACCAGGTTTTCGGTTATATCTTAGTGGTAGAGCATTTGCCTCGCACGAGTGAGGCCCTGGGTTAGAGACTCAGCACTGGGGGTGGGGTGGGGGGAGAAGTACCTATACACTGCAAAGCTTTTTGTAACAACCTCCTTAGGAGTCGAACTGTTTTTACAGAAACAAGACATTCGTCATTGCTGATGGAAGCCTTTCTCAGAGTGTTTAAGAAGAGTAAGGCTTCCTTCCCGAGATGCTTTGTGCCTTAAGAGGAAAGAGAAGGAAATGAGAATCCCCTAAGAGTGGTAGCATTGCTAGCCCTGAAATGCATCCTTTTCCTCTCTCTCTCAAAAAAAAAAAAAAAAAAAAAATCCCATGAGATGAAAAATCTCTGCAAGGTATTTAGGCCATAGGTGTCAACAGAGCCTAGGGTCCAGAGAGGCAAGCTGGCTGCTTTCATGGGAACTGTGTACACAAAGCAGAGGTAATTACTTTGGGTTACAGCCGCTAACATGATTCTGCAAACTCCCTGCCTGCAAGAGACTGCAACGCCTCAAGAATGGGCCCAAACTTATTGCATCTGTGCACTGCTTCAGACCTACCTCAGCTTCTCCTGCCAGAGGCTCTTTGAGGTCTTTCGTAATTTGCATTCCTTGGGCAAATGGAATTTAAATTCCTTAGGCAAATTTCATCCTGATGGAACACAAAAATGACATGCAAGCCATGATCTCATTGTTTAGGATTTCTACTTTAGAATCATTGATGTGTGCCTCAACAGGCAGGTGAGTTAAAACATTTCGGCTCATTTTTATTTTACTTTCATGAATGCGTCTTTCTATTTGAAGAGCCCTTAAGCAATCGTCTCACGGATATCTCAGTAGCATTTGATGATATTCTTTTATGATGGAAGGGCAAGAGGAGGGATCGCAGAGTTAGAGGACCAGAATTCTGGTTCTGGGCTGCAAACGAAGAAGGCAATAAGAGAAGGGAAAGACCTTCAACTCATCATCTTTATCTTGACCTATTTGATTTCTCCTAAACCATCTTAGTAATTGAGTGACCATAACTTTATTTTGGGGCGGACTCTAATGTGGTCATTTTGCTCTAGACCTTCATTCTTCTCCTAGTTCTTCCTAATTCGGATGCGAATGCCATGGTGGATTGGCTCTTGCTAAGAAAAATGCCTCCCAGTTAAGGAAGGATTAGCAAATGGCAGGTGGTCTGAGGTAGTAGGCTGAGCTGCAATCAGAGTTCTAGTTCTTCCAGGTCACGGTACTTGAATTTGTCTGTGAGCCACATTTTGCCCATAGATCAATGAGAACACCCATGCTTCATGGGGTGCATGTGAGGCTCAAGAAAGTGTGTAAAAAGTGGACAAAGGTAGTATGAAGGCACACGAATGTCATGAAATCTCCCGCAGCCCTCCTTCTACACACCCCTAACTAGTGACATGGGAAAGCAGCAATCTCAGATCATTGGCTTCCTCAAATTCCACTTGTCTCCTCAGCCTTAGAACAAAACTCAACAAAACAACGTGTTAAAGAACCCTAGTTATTTCCAACTCATTCCATCTACAAATTGAGAGGAAGGACCTTTGGAATATAACAATGACCTTGAGCTTTGTCAGGACTTTTAGAGCTCACCCTCCTGAGCACCTAGGAACCTGTCCCACTGCCCTTGCTGTTTGGCATTATCATTTCTATTTTAGCATCTGAGGGTGGATTTTAATTGTGCAAGGGCAGGGTGATGCCAGTCTTGCTCATGATTGTCTGCAGCACTGGGTGTAGTGAGAGGTATGTAGTTGGCGCCAAGCAAATGACTAAATGAGTGAGGTGGATGGTGTAACAAAAGCAATCTAGATCCACATAGGGAGCCTGTGGGAGAATCCAGACTCTCCTCCCTCCTGGTAGCCTTGGGTGAGCAATGTCTTAGTAACTTAAAGAGTTTCAGGATTTTTCACACAAGAAAAGTAGGAGGCAATCTGGCCAAAGACATTTTTATTTTTTAAAGAGAAAGTGAGAGAGAGAATTTTTAATACTTATTATTTTTTAGTTCTCGGCGGACACAACATCTTTGTTGGTACGTGGTGCTGAGGATCGAACCCGGGCCGCACGCATGCCAGGCGAGCGTGCTACCACTTGAGCCACATCCCCAGCCTGACATTTTTATTTTTAAGCAGCTCTGAAGAAACCAGGTCTGGAGTCAGAGTTTAAAAAAACAAACAGAACACCTTGGTGTGTGTTTTATTAAAAATTCGAGTAAACTGGGGTTGTTTCTCCCATCCTACTCCTGGCATGATACTATCAAAATAAGACTTCTCTTTTTTCTTTTTTGTACCAGGGATTGAAACCAGAGGCTCTTTACCTCTAAGTCACATCCCCACCCCTTTTTTTTAAATTTTGAGATAGGGTCTTGCTAAATTTCTTAGGGCCTCACTAAGTTGCTGAGGCTGGCTTTGAACTTGTAATCCTCCTGCCTCAGCCTCCCAAGCCACTGGGATCACAGGCGTGCATCACCACGCCCAGCCAAAACAATACTTCTAAGATGGACATCATCTTGCTTTAGATTGGTTAAAATTCCAGTACAAAGGATTGGGGGTGTAGCTCAGTGTAGACAACTTTCCTGGAATATTCAAGGCCCTGAGTTTAATTCCTAACACTGAGGGAAAACAGAAAAGAAAAAAAAAAATCCATTACAAAGAACTCTTTAATTTAGAATTAGTTTGCATAGCATCTCTGTTGGTTTCCTTAGTTTAAATTGTAGGATCCTGCAGGTTGAACAATTTCTTTACAATCTCAAAGTGGCAGTGATGAGCCGCAGTGAGGGAACTGTGATCTTTCCCCTTTGAAACCACAGAAGAAAATTCAACCAATTCACTTTAGCAAATAATAAATTTATTAGGTGCCTCCAAGTACAAAAACACTGAAAAGCTGCTGTAGAGGGTTAGGAGGTTGTGCAGGAGACGCGCCTGCCCTCGAAGGGCTTACAGTCTAGGCAGTTAGCCACATAAATCAGTTGTAGAGATAGGTGTTAGGCCAGCTAAGTGGGAGTTCTTGAAAATATCCACATCCTTTCGAAATATCCCAAGGAATCCTTTCCATGGGAAGCTCAACAGTGGGGAAGAAGAAACCTTTTGTGGGACAAATTAGTGTAGTGACCTTGACTTTGCTTATGAACATCTTTCCATTGCTGTTGCTTATTCTCGTAACTTTCTGGGCATCATTTCCTAACTGGACCTTTGTTTGGAGTCACCCTGCTTCCTGAACCTTCTCCAGAGTTTCCTGTTTGTGATTGAGTGTGGCTCAGTTGCAGTTTGGCCTTGGAATGAATTTACAGTCTGATTTTTTTTTTTCCTTCAGCCAATCTGTCTTTTAATTTTGGTCAAAGTTGGGTTGCTATGCTTTGCAATCTGTGGTTTGAAGGATGGGAGTAAGATGCAAAAACAAAGTAAAGCAGGCCAGACTTTTCCCTTACTTTAAACATTTAATAGTGCACTTACTGATTATATTCTGTACAGATATAGAGCAAATTATAAACTTCTTCCTTTTATTTATTTTTTTCACTTAGACTGTATTCATGTAAAGTGTATTTACATTAAGGGGGAAAAAGCCTTGAGGTACAAAACCCAAAAGAATATCTGAGGTATAAATACAAGTATATTTTAAATAATAATCTTTGTCATGCTTTATCTATGTCTGAAAGCACAGTGGACAGACATGTGTACATATTTCTTAATAGAATGGTATATACAACATACAATCTTACAAATCTGGAAGCCATCAAAATTGAATATACAATTATATCTTTACGAGGAACACTGATATCCAAAATACTCAAATTTTAAAATTCTAATCTGACCCACCCCCCAACTCTTCAAAGAACCTTTGAAATAGTTAACACTGACAATGGTAACTAAGTTATAACAAAATAAAAATCCTTCTTACAACTCTCATTCATACATTATTCACTTTTGATCCATACAAAATAAATTCACTAATACTGTCTCTAGAGTCAATCTTAACTATTACAGTAAAACCTGTATAAAGACCACCCTTCCAGAAAACTGTGCTGTATTCTTTCACTGTGATTACTACTTCCCCTTAGGACTAAAATACATTTTGAGGGCATCATAAAAGAAAAGAAAAAGAAATATAGGAAAAACAAACAAAACAAAAGCCAAGAAACCAGAAAAACCTATTTGCTGATAAGAACAAAACCAATTAATAAAAATGTGCAGCTTTCAGGAATGCTGTTAACAACCACCAAAAAAGGAAAAAAGAAAAAAAAAAAAAAAGGCTTTTTGTGCCTGGGTTAAACTTACAGGAATTTCCTTGGGACGGTTTCCCATGTTCTCATGCATAGTGTCTCAAAGAGTTTGTGCTATACACATGAAACTGCAAAGAACTGTAACAGGTTAAAAAAAAAAGTTTTTATGCTCGATTTAGGAGTAAAGAGAGTGTTTAGTTTTTACTGCTCTTAAAAAGATAAAAACAAACAAAACCCCCCTGTGCCTTGGAGCTAATAAGGTCAGGGGAAGGGGATTATTGTTCCTGAAGTCATCTTTATTGGTTAAAACTATATCCCTGTTTGCAATCAGGTCTAAAAACAAACTGCATTTGCAATGAGTGTTGCAGTAAACCTGCAATGACTTCTAAGGTAAAGAAGAATTAGTGGAAAAGGAATATGCCTACCAACCTGGAAAAGAAAAAATGGACAGTGTTTGTTGGGTCTCCTTTCTGGATGGATCCATGGGTAGTCAACTATTCCAGGTTAAACTGAACCTGCTGCATCGACATTCCTTCCTGGAGGCATCTCAGTGTGCCAGACACTGCATTCCAACGTAGACATCTATGCCACTCAACCAGTGACAAACACACATTCACACTCCTCTGTGCAAACCTTTCTTTGCTCATCTCAGTGAGAAAACATGTCCACAAGTACCAACTATTCCAGTGGATACACCAGTCCCTCGACATACTGCAAATCAATGACATAGGTAACATACACCGATATCACAGAGAATGAAATATCTTCATTGTCTTCCATAATGTATTTAAAGAGTTTTGCTTCTCAGAAGCAATTTGAATTAGAATACAAGAACTTTTTTTTTCTTTTTTTTATATGCACAGTCTTATATATTCCAGTCAAGGTCTCCAGAATAGACCTTAAACAAACAGGAAGCAGCTTTAAAAATGTATCAAATTGCTACAGTCACTTTCTATACTCTGACTTGTATTTGCTTCAGGATCAGACACACACTGATTCTTCCAAGGACTGGCAAGGTTCTGGAAACAATCACGCAGGTGGTGGACACAGTTGCTTTGCTTCAGGAATCACCTAGATTTGGTATCCTTGGTTTCAGTGCTCTGATTAATGAAGGAGTCTCGAATCTTTACCACTTCAGCTGCACACAAATGTCCAAAAGATTTTGTGTACCATTCTGGCATGTGACCCCTAGCACAAAAAGGAAAAGCCGATGATTTATCTGGAAAACACTGAAATAAGATGAAAGCAATCCCAAATACACATTCATTTCTTTCTTTTCCTTTTTTCCTCTCCCTTATGGTAGTGCTGGAGATGGAACCCAAGGTCTTACACAGACTAGGCAAGTACTCTGCACCACTAAGCCACACCCCCAGTACCACTTCCATTTCTTGATGGACCAAATGTGTAGGTAAAGATTACTTATTTGCTGGGCGCAGTGGCACACGCCTGTAATCCCAGCAGCTAAGGAGGTGAGGCAGGAGGATCACGAGTTCAAGGCCAGCCTCAGCAATGGTGAGGCACTCAGCAACTCAGTGAGACCCTGTCTCTATATAAAATACAAAATAGGGCTGGGGATGTGGCTCAGTGTTTGAGTGACGCCAAATTCAATTTCTAGTACCCAAAATACAAAAAAAATACCATTTTTTTTTATCACCAGGCAATTTCCTAGTATATTCATTGCACATTTGGAACCACAAGTTTTTTAAGGAACAAAACATAGAGCATAGGTACTGAGTGAAACTGCTTAAGAAATGCTTCGGCTTACATCATGGAAAGAGATCACAGATATCTGAAGAACTAGTGAGATGTAACTATTTCAAAGGAGAATTTAGCTAACATGAGAGACATTTTAGAAAGAGTTTTCAGAACTTCATTTGTTTGGTCTGTTCTGTTCTATCTCATTTATTTTCTATACAGCCTAAACTCATTTTTTGGCGGGTGGGGTGGTGCTGGGAATTGAACCCAGAGCCTTGTGCATATGAGGCAAGTACTCTACTGACTGAGCTATATCTCCAGCTCTTTCTCATTTTATGATATGACTACACATTCATTTTTGGCACAGAGTGTAGGCCTAATCAATTACTAAAAGTGCTCTTCATACTATTCAAACGCCTTTGAATATAAAATGAGAAATGTCTGCTTGATGGTTGAAACATAAAATATATAATTTCCTGTGGGCATTAAATTCACTGTAGAACCACCAAACTTGTGTTGCTTTAGGGCCACATTTTCTAAGGAAGTGGTGATACCCAATGACCAGCAAACACCAATGTGTTACTTCATGATGTCACCAAGATACCACGGTGTGGTCATTTAATTCATTTTTTTCCGCATCAGACAACAAGTCTAATTCTTCCTCTGGCCCTCACTGTGTCCAAAAAGTCAGAGTCAGACATACCTTAAATCAGCTCGGCACATGTAAGTGAGTTTGGATTTTCCTGACCCGCAGGGTTCAATCAAATATCTGGACAGGAGCACGTTGACCCTCACGCCTGCCACCGGGGCTCGGTCGTGATCCACAGAGGTGAGTAGTAGGGCACAAGCTCCTTTGGGTAAATTCGTCCTCCAGGTTCTGTGGAGACAAAACCAGAGGGAGTGAGAAAGGGATTTCCTGGAAGCCACACTGAAAATGTGGCATCACCCAGAAGGGAGGAGGGGCCAGGCTCAGTGCCATGTATGACCCACGCCTGGGTTCCTGGCATCCTCTACACTAGTGCACACAGACTCTGGGATGAGTAACTCTGCCCAGCACGACATCCACTGAGAATATATAAGCTCAGACTTGGAAAAGAGGGCCAATGGGAAGTGGAGCTAAAAGCCATTTTTTCCATTTTACAAAAAGCCTTCAAATGGGGACATCCAAATGAGCACCGCTTCTGTTTGAAAAGTTCTGGACAAATGATGTGACATTTCCTCAGAGATTTTTTTCGAATTCTTCTTTCAGCCATGTCTCCAGAGGATTTATGAATTACACATAAATCAGCCTTAACCACATCTCACTTGGGACTCGAATGTTATTTCCTGGCTTATTCCTTCTCTAGCTGTTTCTAACCAGAAAAATCTACCCTAAAAGGGGCAAAAATCTGTTGCTATGAAGAAGCATATTCCTCTGAATATGCCTTTCTGATGAATACACAGCTGGACTAGATGTAGACAGATTTCTGTATTTGGAAGTCTGGCCATTTTTCTGAGGCCTGTGTTTCATTTTGAACCGTGTAACTTTCTTGTAGGACTCTACAACACATAGGCTTGGTCCTGATATTTAGCTGCCTATGCCACAGCGCTCTGTTTGGCAGATCTCACCTCAACACCACGTAGTCCCGAGCCGGGTGGGGTGCCATACTGTTTTGGACATACTGGTAAATTTCAGTCTGGCTGTCCAGGATTTCGATTACTTTTGAATCCAGCAAGTCGACATCCCAGAGGTGCTGCTCTTTCAGTAGGCGCTTTAAGATCTCCTCAGGCAGAGCAGGGACTTCGATGGTTGATCTCCAAAGCCTCAGAGGGGGTCCTTCACTCACCTGAAAAGAGGATGTATATTTCAGAGCTAAGACAGCCATACACAGCTCGGCTGAGAAAGCAAATTGTGAATGGAGGGTCCGGTCTTGTGTTCAGAGGCTAATAAATCTATGACAGTAATAGGTTGCTGTCCTTGAGTATATTCAGGATCAGGCCCGAAAGCCAACGAAATAGCTGGTGTCGACTCTGGTCAGAATCATGATGTTTATATTAGGGTATATGTAAGATCAACCATCATCATACCCCAAAGCCTGTACAGCTATATGGATTACTCTCTTGTTTATTTATACTGAAGGTGGTAGAGATAGTGTTAGCAAATACCACTATGGACCAATCATACCCCACAGGAAGCCCAAAGTATAGTAACTGAGAACAGATGATGGTACACGAAGATTCTGACTGGATTATGGGAAAATCTAAATATTCTAGAACATTCCTTTAAAACCCAGCACCAGTAATAAAACACCCCAGGAAACTTTGGTGTGATTCCATGGCACCAAAGGATTTATTTCATTAGAAATGGACTGAAATCCTCTCTAGGGTTCATTAGTCCTTGTGTGATGGTCTCCGTATCAGCTCAGGGAGATTGGGCTACAGATTGCCATGGATTACCGCTGGCCCAAGAATCTTATCTCTGATGAACCCAAGTCCTCATCGCAGGATTTCAGAGCAGCCAAGAGGGAGAAGCCTACCTTCTTGTAGGAGAGCTCGGCCTGCTCAGAAGTCGAGTAGCTGACCCAGCCTTTAAACTTCTCTTTGACCTCCTTATACAGGCCATCCACGCAGTCCTGGAGGAAGTGTTTGTAGTCAGCCGATTCATCGTTACTCAGGTGCCCCAGGGCCTCCAGTGTGAGGGGCTTCAGCTCTTGTTCAGTATAGGAATTGCGACACCGGCTCATTTCCTCAGGAACCTGGGAAGGACACGAGAGACACAAGGTGGAGACCTGACCAGGGCTCATCCTCAGCACCCATCAGTGGAAGCACACGAGAGAATCAACAGCTGGGGTCCTCAAGGCAGCGTAGGCAGCCCTGACCCCATTTCCAACAGAAGGCAGGGAGTCCCTGCTGACAGACAGATCACCTTGACAGATATGTCTAAAACACGTATTCCTGTGTAAGATCTATGTGTTTTAGACCTATCTGTGAAGGTGTACTAAAATTGGGCTTAACTGAACCACTGAGCAGGTGGCTCAGATACAGAATTTTAGTTTCAGATAATTGGCTGCTTTTGTTTTTTAAGTAAAGGGGTATGAAGGTGGACAATTTCATGAAACATCATTAACTCTAATGAGTGTATACATAAATATAGAATTAAGACATTATCAGGGCTGGGGATATAGCTCAGTTGGTAGAGTGCTTGCCTCACATGCACAAGGCCCTGGGTTCAATCCCTAGCATCACCAAAAAAAAAAAAAAAGATACATTTTGGGGCTGGGGTTGTGGCTCAGAGGTAGAGAACTCGCCTAGCCTATGTGAGGCACTGGGTTCGATCCTTAGCATCACATAAAAATAAAACAAAGATATTGTGTCTACCAATGACTAAAGAATAAATATTTTTAAAAAAAGACATTATCAGGACACACACATATACACATTATTCTCCAGCCGTGGAAAAGGATGTTTTCCTAAGACAAGAACAAAATATCAAGCCAACCGTTTGCCAAACACTTTTTGTCCCCATTCGTGTCGTCCTAACACAGGAGCCGACCTTCCCAACTCCTTACCTGGAAAAGCTTCTTGCACTCAGCAATCATATGGGCCAGCCCTTGAGTGGCAGCTAGGTTTTCATTCAGATCTTTCTGATCTGGTTTGCCCAAACTCTGTTTTCTTTGCATTACCCTGGATAAAAGAAATAAAGGGAGGGGAAATGAGTCCAATATTTATATATTGGTAATCAATGTATCATTCAAGGAAACTCAAAGGAGAAAAAAAAAACCAAACATTTTCCTGGAACCTATTTATCACTAAGTGGTTCAAGAGAGCTTTTACTTTGTTTACCAGAATTTCTCAGAGTTTTATCGACAACACACACTAGAGATGTGTTTTTCATGAAATCCAGGGTATTTAAAGCCACTTTGTTAAATAGGTTTCTGTCTTAAGAGGAACAACTGCTAAGGGCTGTGGTCCTGCTGGGGAGTTAGCCAGCTTCCGGAGGGTGTGGGGTGGGGGCCCTGGGAGCTGGGGTAAATGGTTTCAGTATTCTTACCATTTAAATAAACAGGATCCCCTCCACAGGTGAGGGATAAACCTATTCTTTCCCAGAGGTGTTGTCTTACTCTTATCTGATCTCTCTCTTCTACTCACCTCCAGTTCTCTATCCCATTAAAGTTGGAATGCCCCAGCAAACTTTCGGAACTAGTTAAAAGGATATTTAAGCATTGTCTGGCTTTTAGGAACAAAGCTAACTTCCACTAGAACAGCTAGGCCCCAGGTCTCCAGCTAGGGAATAACTCTTCAGGTTCCTTTAGAAAAGGATCTGCAGGATACATTTGGTATGGAGTTTGCAGTAAGTCCTGTTAGTCACTCTCTCAGACCCTCCAATAGAAGGTATTCATATGAAAATGCAGAGGCTAAGACTGGCTCTGCTATATCTTCCTATCAGGCATGGTCAAGCTACTTACTGAATTAAGCTTTCTCTAAGCCTTACTTTCCTCCTGTGAAAAAGAAATTTGCAGAATCTTTACCTCCTGTGATTGTTATGAGATGATCAATGGGAAGAGAAGGGTCCTGTGCCCAGTACAGAATAAGCACCTAGCCTTTTTTATTTTTCAGATTCCTTGACTTTTTCTCCACTTTCATCTTGTGTATTCGCATTCTATGCAGAAATTTTACAAACGACTGGCTTAGGCCAAATCCTGAGTAGAAGCACCTTTGAATCTCGACATTAAGACCAGGCTGTTTCAACTTTGGGCAGAGGCTGGAAGTTTGGCTTGCCTGACCACGAAGGGAAAAGGCAGCGGGAATCATCCATCCAGTTTTTTTAAGACTTGTGCATCGGTATTGTTCTTTGTTGGCACAAATAGGATGATGACACTATTATTGGACTTGCCCCCCATTACTGGCTAGGGCAAGGCAAGACTCAAAACCTAGTTGTTACTAGGCTGTCTATAAAAGTCATACTTTCTAGAAAGTTCTGCGAAAGAAAAAAAGGCAGAAGTACAGGGGAACCTTGTGGGCTGTAAATGAAGGAAGTCTAACTCATTTTGTCTGGTTCAGGTAAGAAGCCCACAGGAGTACAGTGGCAGCCCTATAAGGAAAGGCCAGCTGCCTCCGTGGAAGGGCAGAGCCCCCGTGTGCACCTCTCATCTGACCTGTACCTTGGAGAAGAATTCTCTCTCTTCAGGGTGTTGAGGTGGAAGAGAGAAGGCGCTAAGCACACGGCCAGGTTGGTCGGAGTCATCTGGTTTTCTTTTACAGCCGCTGTGACATCACTCAAGAAGTAAAGAAGCGTCTGGAGAACCTCCCGGTTCTCATCAGGCAGGAGCATAATGGCAGCCTTGATGGCCTGGAGGCGCTGGTCTTTGGGTACGTCTGCGAGGTAGAAGAATTTCCCTCAAGCTCAGTGATTTTCCATGTATGTGGCAAGGACGCGTCCCAAAGCAAACATCAGCATCAAATACTGAACAAGCACTTGCAGAAAGTGCACTACAGGTTAATAAGGAAGAAATTATGGACTGCTACCAGTCACCAGCGTCACTACCCTCAGGTATTTCCTGCCTTGTGGAGGAGTTAAAAAAATTTTAAACACTCATGATACCAATAATACTCCTAAAGCTACCTCAGACTTCAGCTCCGGATAATGCTCTTCTTTTAGTTTAGAGAACAAAAAAATTTTTTTTTCCTGAATACTTTCTAATGATCCCTAATTGACTAGCTCAATTACTGAAATCATTATACACTTAAACATAAGTTTCAATGTAAAGTCTTATCTAAGCCTTGATTATAAAAGATTGAGAATCTCTGGGGACTGTTATAATTTTAAGTGATTTGCTCATTCTCAAAATGGGGAAAATTGTTAACATAGTCAGTTGACTTAAACAATAGATTTAACCAGTAATTTTTTCCTTGAGTTTTAGAAACCATACCGAGAAGCTATCATAGAAATGCACACAATTATTCAAATAATTAAAAATGCAAATGAATCCATAAAATAATCTGCATGTAGAAAATGCTGAACTCAACTTTTAGGTCTTCTTTTTTAGACAGACCTTTTTTAAAAGCATGTAGTGGAAAAATTAAGTCACTCAAATGTGGCGGCCATAGGACAAACTTATTAAACAGCTCCATGGTTACAATACATAACAAATACCTTGGTGGGGAAAATGTGACCTGTGTTTTCATAAACTATGAAAGGATGAAACAAATAATGAAATAATCCAGAGCAGCTCCATTTCTCATAAAATGAAGTCCAATGCTCCAGTTCTAAGGACAATTTCAGCACCAAGAGAAGCTGCTTTGAAATCACACTGCTGTAATACCATCCTGAGCCAAGAAAAACACAAGGCTGTAAAAGCTATAATCCTGATCTTGATCATTAATTTCGACAACTGTTTGCTTTAAGCTTTGCTTAAAAGTGAGAAGAGCATGGGTATTGTTTTCTCAAGTATTTCTGGCAGGGATTGTGATGAATAACAGAAAAAGATTATTTATTCATTTTACAGTGTGATAAAACACAAAGACACCTGTGCAATTTTAAATACAACAGACCTGCTAGAAAGATATGAAACAATTGAAAATTTCAGTAGACAAGGCCAAGAGAGAGGGAAGGGAGAGGGGCTGAGAGAGAGAGAGAGAGAGAGAGAGAGAGAGAGAGAGAGAAAGCTAGATAGATATCTTGGTACCTGCTCTTTATCTAAGCATCTTAGATAACATTGCTCTAGAGAAAAATAAAGGGAGCTGGATCAGAATATAAAAATATGTAACTGCTTCAGCAATTAGAGACTAATGAGAAGATAAATTTATTTCTCATTAATAAGTATACAGGAACTAGTTCCACAAACAAGGAGGCAAGGAAGAAACTGATGGCATGTGTTTCCAAGAGGTCACACAAAGACAAGAATGGGGCCAAAGAAGTTACAAGTTCAGTTGTTCACATGTCCCTCCATGCCAAGTAACCTCAAAGTCCAAGGACACTTACATTGGTAGATCTGTAGAAAGGTTTCCGAGAGTTTGTTTGTCATGAGTGGCTCAGGAAGATCTCGAAAATACTGCTTCAACATGTCTGCCACATCATAAGCAGACTGTCCTTCATAGTTGACACAATCTGTGGCACTCTCATTCATCTGGCGCAGAGCCTGAATCCGGGATTTGACACCTGATTTTCTGAAGAGCCCAACCTTTCGGAAGAAAAACATTCCATGTTGGGATGGAAGCAGTATCTCCATTACAAAACTAGGAGCAACGTGAGGCTGAGCCCCAGGATGACGTGGGATCCACAAGTAGTGGTCCTCACCTGATCCAGACAGTGGTTACGGAGGTAGCGCATGGCCTGCTGGATGCTCTGAGGCAGGGGTTGTCCTGTACGCTGCACGTTGACCGTGAGGGGGACCCCGAACACGCTCCGGTCCTTGTAGTCTGGAACCTTGATTCTTTTCATGAACTTGGGCACAGCCCTGTTTAAAGAAAATGGTACGAAGGGGTGCATTTATTTTTCTGTCTATACTTGTCCTCCTCTACAGATAAACCCTGTGGTCCCTAGATCTATGCCAATATGGTGACTGTTTAAATTTGCATGAAATAAAGCAACCCATTCAATTCCTCAGTTGTACTAGCCACATTTCAAGTGCTCCCTGGCCATTTGTTGGTAATCACTACTGTTTTGTTTTATTGTTTTGGTACTGGGGATTGAATCCAGAGGTGCTTAACCACTGACTGATATCCCCAGCTCCGTTTTTAAAAAAATTTTTATTTAAAGACAGGGTCTCTCTGAGTTGCTTAGGGCCTCAGTTGCTGAGGCTGGCTTTGAACTCATGATCCTCCTGCCTCAGCCTCCTGAGCTGTTGGGATTATAGGCAAGTGCCATCATCCTTGGCCCAGTAGCTGCTATTTTAGAATGTGAAAATCATTTAACTTCCTGCCATTATTGACAGTTTCACTGGACAATGTTGTTGTACGTATTTTAAGAGCTGGGGTTAAAAGGCCTGGTCACATCTCTTTGGTTGGGGATTGTCCTTCCACTGTTAATCTTGAGAACCAAGGTCTATAGTCTTAAGGAAACCAATGGACTTCCTTATAAGATGGCAGTACAGGAAGAAACAGAAGCAGAAAACATGTTAATACCCTAACTAGATGCTTCTGATAAAGTTTGAAAACACGAGCTTCCATTAGTCCTGAAAAGGGTTAGAAACCCTTTTGAGTTCCTGATGAGATCCAAAGCACTTAAGGTAAAAAGGTTTAGTAAATAGCCATGAAAAAAAGAGCAGAGACATGAAGTTGGTCTAATATCATGAGCATCAACTCCAGAGCTCAACAGTGAAAGACCTGAATTCAAAATAAATTCTCTTAATTGATGACCCCAGAGTTATATCTTGCAGTTTCTAAGGAAAGACAGAAAAGGAAAAAATGGGGGTTTTGTGAGCCTCCCCCAGGTTTCCTGAAGTCCTGAAACAAGGTCCACCCCCAGCAGTGCATGCATCACCAGGAAACTCATGTCATGCATTGAAGACTGTCACACAGACATTTGAGCTCTACAAATGACCCCTCCGAATGAGACAAGTAAGACAAGGCCAAACAGGAAAGTAACTCTGGGCAGAATTTCTCCCTAATGCACGGATCCACAATGCCAGGCTTTTACATTAAGGTTTTGGCTTGCTGGAAAAACTGACCAGAACTTGAGAAATATTATAGACTTTGAGATTCCTGAGGGTTTGGTGGGAAGGGGATGGGCAACTCAGCAAGGGGAATCTAAAATATGCAGTTTTAAATAGCCAGCAGGGAAAATATTACTCTAAGCACACAGGAACACTGCAGAGGACCAACTGCTTCGACATTTGAGTGCTTACCCATGGCCACGACACGTTACTGTTTATAGCTCCAGGAAAGGTAAAGCTAAAGAGCAGAGGTGGGTTGGTATTTCCATACAGTTAAATATACAGTATCACGGCTAGAAGAGTGCATAATACTCGCTTTGTCGGGGGAGAAAAGCCTGGCTGGGGAATGTGGAAAGAACACATTACGCTCCCTACTGAGAATCTGAAGCATGTGGGGATAAACCGGTCAATACTTATTTCTGTCATTCAGAACAAACAACTTCTGTATTTAGCGAAGCTCACATAATAAGGCCTTTGCACAGGAGGGGCTTTGATGCTGCAGCTAAATTCACTGTGCATCCAGAGGAGGGTGGAGCTGGAGGGAGCGAGACCAAGCTACCTGGCTTTGCAGATTCTCCCAAGTGACTTTGGTCTGCCACAGAGGGCTCCAATGACATGGGCTGCTTCTCTGTTTTTATAACAACTGAATAATAAACACTTTGATGAGTGAAAAGACTAAGGACGCTCAGCTGGCAATGCAAAATAACACTGAGATGTCAACGCGGAGGCAGTTCTGGGTTTTGCACTGAAGGTAGAAAAATCAGTGTGTACAGACTAGGTCACACCCATGATCCCTCCAATCTAACAATTTACATCTCAAGTTGGACACACCTAAGGCTAGATTTTTCAAAAGTAACTACGAAGAACTCATCTAATACACTTCGTCTTTATTTATACATTCACCCCTAGCATTTTGTAGTGCCTTCTCAAAAATTTATTATTCACTGCTTGAGCAACTTTGCTGGGAAAAAATAACCTTAACACTTGAACACAGGTAGATCGTTAAGTGATGCTGCAAATACTCATATCAAAAATAATTTTTAGGGCTAGGGATGTAGCTCAATGGGAGATAGCATGCTGAGCATGTATGAAACCCTGAGCTTAATCCCCAGCTCATCAAAACAAACAAGATTTCTAAAAATATGCATGAATAGGATTACAGGGACAAGCAATGTACATACATCAAGCATTTCCAAGATGATCTCATAATATCTTACCATTTCTTTCTTCCCTTCTATAGGTATGACATAATAATGTACATGTATTTACTTATAATGGGTTATTCCTACCACTGGAAAGGAGGCAGCAATACCACGTGATGTGAGAGTAATACATTCTCACCCCCATCAACTGGCAATTTGCCACTCCAAGAGCTGACAATGCAATCTGCCAGCCCTGCTGATAATTCCTTAAAACTCTGATGCCTTCAGCGTTCTTGAATGTGATCTCGAGAATGCAGAGACCAGGCTGGCTCTGGAAGAGTGCTTGACTTGCATGCCTGAGACCCTGGGTTTGATCTCCGGCACCACAAAACAAACAAGCCAAGAACAAAATGCAGAGATTGCATGACACACTAAAGATATTAGCAAAGGACAGAATTAACTACCATGTGCTCACTGTGGGGATGGCCTCAAGGAGTTGACTGAAAAACATCACTTGAAGTTACGGTTTAAGTTCTTACCAGCTAAAACCATGCTTGTTAGAAGGTGTGTACTTCTCCAGCAGAGCTGTCAACTTGAGGAGCGAGTATTTCTGCAGTAGGTTCATCTGGGCCACAGATTGGCAGTTAATCTGCAGAGATACAGAGTTTAGGCTTGGCCGGTGGGAGCTCTGGAAACTGTGCCATCTCAGTCTGTGCCTGGAAAAGAATGGGGCAGGGTGAGTGAGCACAAAGGTAGATGCAAAACTGGCCAAGGCTGCTAGCTGTCCTCTTAGGAACTGAAAGGATTCAGTTTTCAGGCCATTCATTTTCTTCCCCTGTGGCAAAGTGTACAATGGTTCCTAGGTGTCCACAGGGGATTTGTTCCAGAATCCCACTCAGTTAGCTGAATCCACAGATGCTCAAGTCCCTTACAAAAGATGGCACAGTATTTGCATATAGATGATGTACATCCTCCTGTTTACTTTAAATCATCTCCAGATCACTTTTAATACCTAACACATAGCGAATGCTCGGTCATTAGTTGTTATACTGTACTGTTATGGGAATAAGGACAAGGTAAAAAAGTTGGTACATATTCAGTGCAGACACAAGTTTTTTTCCCTCAAATTTTTTTGATCTGCTGTTAGCAGAATCTGCAGATGTGGAACCCATGGAGAAGGGGGCGGCTGACTGCACACAACCTAAAATTGACCACGGAACCACTTCTAAAAGCCCAGTTCAGTGGCATTAAGTCCACCCTGGGATTGTGCAGTCCACCTCCCCTTGTTTTCATCTTCCCCAAGTGAAAGTCCACACCCATTAAATAATATCCTTTCTTTCGGAATCTTGGATCTCCTGGGCTGACACTTTTCTCAGCAACTGATATGGCTACGAACATCGGTCTTTATCCCATTCCCTCCTACAGAACCAGTGGAGCAGACTCTTTCTGATCCCCACTCCTTAATCCGGTGGGAGGAGCCAGGCGCTTACCTATTACACCTGGTCAGGGAAGCCCCCACCCCGGAGTCCCTTCTTTCCGGGATGTCAGAGGGCTCTTCGGGCTCATTCAGGGAGTTGCCTGTGCTGTCCAGGTCACTGGGTGTGGTTCGGTCGTTGTCCACATCCAGGTGGATCTGTTTGGGAGAGGACGGGCAAGGAGAGACGGAGTCCAGGGCTGAGTCCGAGTCTCCCTCATCTGAAAACTTCTCCGACCACTGGTTGACGATCCGCTGCATCCCCTTCACGTGGTAGAGGATGTCGTCCAGCTCGGGGAAGATGTCCTCATTCTCCAGGTCGGCCAGGTCGCCTGAGCTGGAATAGAGGATGGAGCCTGGCACGTTGTCGTAGATACTCAGGCGGCTGCTCATGGAGCTCGAGGAATTTCGCCTCTTAAGTTCCTTAGGGCTGTCATTGCTGTTTTCCCTCCTGAGGCTGATATGGCCAGGGCCATGGAAGCTTCCAGTCCTCCAGTTCACAGAGCTGTTATTTCCCGAAGGACAGAAGCTTCCATTGGAAAGGGCCTTGGGGAAGGTGCCAGGCTTGTGATCTTCAGGGATGTAGAACACTGTGTCCTCTGGGTAGCTCTCGCGGTTTTTAAAGTTCTGCTCCATCACGTTGTTAAATGTGGACTGATTGAAAGGATCAAAGCCCTCTAGATACATGCCCACCCGCTTGTTGCAGGCACTGAGGCTCCGTGTCCTGGTGACAGGGCTAGGTGTGCTGACAGCGCTGCTAGTTTCTGACTGGCTGCTGCTGCTGCTGGTCTGTGTGGAGTTGGATACACTCCTCTTTCGTACCATGGGGACGTTGATGTGGTTGCCATTGAGGGCTGAGATCTCCACGCAGTTCAGCTGCTTCAGCTTCTCCTCATCCATACCCTCTTGCAGAATGGGCCCACTGATGATCAGCCCCAGCTTGGAGGGTGCCTTGTGCTTGCTGTGGTGGGAGCCCTTGAGCTTTAAGCTCTCCATCCGTTTCAGCAAGCTTCGGGTCTTAGACTTGGCATTTTTCTCATGCCCTTTCATGCTAAAGCTGAAGCTAGATAGTTCCTTGGGAGAGGGAAGGCTGCAGAAAGAGTCGTCATTGCCTATAAAGTGGCTGGAGGAGCAGACACTAATGACGGAGTTAGTCCGGGGTGTCACAGCATCCCCACTCTGGGACACGTGGGTGGGGATGCTGCTGGTGCTGCTGAGGCTCCGGACAGAAGACACCTCCTGGCGCTCGCTGAGGTCCGTCAGCATACTTTCATGGCTCATGGCGTTCTTCAGGTGGGAATCATCTGGGGACCCAGACACTGGGTCCTGCTTTGGAGAAAACACATCAAACTCTTCAAGCCGGGACCACCTCTTGCTGTCCCTCTGGAAAGTCCATTTGCCACTTATTGCACAAGGCTCATCTTCATCCGAATCCTCACTCTGCAAAGACATAATGAAGCCATTTATACACAGGACCGTAAGGTAGCAGGGGCCAGGACACATGCTATGAGCCAGGAGATTGTTCCAACGTCACCACTAATTGTTCCAAATCCCCCACTTCTTTCACATTTACTTTCTTTTTTCTTTAAAATAACAAAGATATATTTAAAGAATGTAACAGGAGAAAGTCTGATCAAGTGTTGCCTGCTAAATAAGATTTTTTTGTTTTGGTACTAGGGATCGAACCCAGAGGCGCTTAACCACTGAGCCACATCCCCAGCCCCTTTTTATTTTGACACAGAGTCTTGCTAAATTAGTCAGGATCTTGTGAAGCTGCTGAGGCTGGCTTTGAACTTGTGATCCTCCTGTCTCAGCTTCCTGAGTCACTGGGATTATAGGCATGTACTACGGATGCCGGGCTAAATAAGATTGATTTTTATGGAAACTTTGGATCTATGGGTTGTTTAATTGCTCACAAAGGAAACCTCTGAGATTGGTGAAAATTCCAGGCATGCAAAATATTTTGGACTGGAGTCGGCAATGGTAGGACTCCCTCGGGACCACCTCTGGTTTTGCTGTCTGTTGATAGCATATGTTTACGTTCCTTGTTCCTTTTGCAATGAAGAAAGCAGTCTCCCAACAGTTAAGAAGAGTGGCAACTTAGAAGATCCAGCCACCCTAAAAAAATTTTTGAATTCTCCTAAATTAATGGAGACCAGGCAAAGTGAGCCATCACGTGCTGGCCACTTCTTACCTGTTCCTTTTCTTCCCCTCCCCCGACCAGAGCTCACCCCAGGATTGTCCTGTGCAGTTTCAGCCCTAGACCAGCTCCAGGCAATTTAACAAGGCTTCACAAATACCCAGTCCTGACAGCAGGGAACATCGGTAAACACAGAGTAACATCTCTGTTGGTGATGTCTGATTCCTGTGCAGGTCTTAAGAGATAGGCTGTCACAGACTGTTCCATCTTGGCCTTTGAGGCACAGTATCAAAAGGCACAATTCTGCCTGCTAGGTATCTCTGCCACAGGCGTGGAAAATATCACATGACCTAAGATTCCCAGGAAAGGGAGTAGAGAGCATTATGCGATGACTTGGAGACACAGCTCAGTGGGTGCTGAGGTTCCAGTTCATTTATTTAAAAGGTCTAACTCCCCAAGAAGGCCCAGGTCAGAGACTCTACGATAATTAAAATTTGTACTTGGAACAATCAAAAGTATGTTCTTTGATCCAACTTATTCCTGTTTATTCTAATTTGTGACACTCACTCCCAGTATTACCTTTTTCTCCTAAGATCTCCTAAAAGGGCCTCCCAACTCATTCGCAAAAGAAAATACCATTCAATTCAGTTATGTGCAACCATTGACTGAAATGTGTGGGATTTCCTGGCTTCTCTGTTTCCTCCCCCAATTCCTTTCCTCCCTCCAAATGTTTTATTATTCTTCAATATCCCACCCCCCAACCAGCCTTTGTTTTTATCCTGACAGCTTTGAAATGTAGTTACTGTTGTATTTGGGAAGACAGAGGAATTCCCAAAGTGGGGTTAGCTTTATTTTCTCTAGAGAGTCACGCAAAGTCCATTGGAATTCATTAAGTCTCATCTTTGTTATCACAGTAGGAATTGAGTTCGTTAGGAAAGATAATAGATGATTTCTTCAGATAAAAACCCACCTATTCACAAATTTTTACAAAAATTCTAAAAAAAACCCCCATCTATTAGCTGGTTGCCACTACACACTCTTTGGTAAACGTGACTGGATGATAACATTAAACATGGAGATGCTTTTGGAATGAGAAAATATGAGAAACAAAACTTATTACAAAACACATAATCCAGTTTTAGGTTTGCCTGCTTGTTTTCCCCAAATCCTATTATATAATTTACATACTCACTCTCTTCCGATGAGGACTAATTTCTAGCTTCATCACCGCACATTTGTTTAAAGTATTTAAACGCCTATGGAGCAAAGAAATAACATTAGCAAAGAAAGGAAACCACTAATGGGTAGGTAAACATTTTTTTTTTCTAAACAACTGACATATTTAGTGAGTTTCTCTGAACTTAATAATATCAATAATTTATGTATTAGAAACTTCCCTAAAATGTGAATGGGTGAAATAAAATCCTTTATATTTCTTAAGCTTTTCATTTAAATTAATTTTTTTATGACTTTATAGTAAATTGTAAGTTAAATTTTTATGATTTTATAGTAAATTGGCACACCACAAGGACACTGGCAGGTACCTCTAACTCTTCCTGGAATAAGCAATTCTCAATGAGAAAATGCATTTTTTTCAATAACTGGTAGGGTGAGTCAGTAGGCAAATGCAATTAAGTTACTTCAATGTCAAAAAATAAGAACCTGTGATGTCTCTTTTCATAGAAATAAGGACAACACCGAGAAACCTACTAGAGCCGTCAGCAAACAAGTAAATTGTATATCACATCAAAACTTGAAGTAACACTAATTAAAAAAAAAAAAACAGCAGAAAAATCAGTAGAATAGAGGGGGAGGGGAAGAATGGGGGAAGTACTGGGGACTGAATTAGAGTATATTATATTCCATGCTTTTATGTCTAAATGAATCCTAAGGTTATGTGTCTTAAAAAGAACCAATAAAAAGGGAAAACAATTTTAATTTAAAAATAAGCTTTAGTTATGTCTGACCAATAATCATCTTAGGCAACCTCTTCATAATTTTATTTTATTTTATTTTTTTGTATAGAGAGAAAATTTTAGCCCTCTTTAATAACTTCCTGTTCAGGAGAGAATAATGTTTGGTATAGTGAAAGCAATAACACAAATTATTATTTTAAAAATTTGGATACTATAACCTGGAGGAAAGAGAGTGAGAAAGAGACACAGAAATAGATAGATTAGGGAAATAATTTAGTGTCATTAAAAATGAAATGCTTAAAACTCACGGAGAAATAATGAAGTAGCTCAAAGAAGACGTGCTTTCAATAAGCCTGGCGAACTGGTCTGTGAAAGTGTGAGAGATAGCTCTCCAGGCCTCATTCTTCCTAACATCTTCCAGATGACCATCACTGAGGGTCCTCCGTGAACCTTCCATGTGCCTGTCTGCTGCCTTGTTAAGTAACACAAATCTCCTGACTGGGTTTCCAGTTTCTCCTAAAATTGCAATTCTTAGGTTTTCATGGGATATCAGCACTTAATTTGCCCAAATTCAAACTGATCATGTACCTTCCTCAGGGCTTTATCTTCTTGATCCTGTTCTTGCAACTTGTCTGACAACTTTGATGCACCAGGATAGAAAGTATCTCTGCCTGCCTGATAAGCCTGCCTTTGATTTCCTAGATTATGTGGAAGCCTGTTTATAGAATAAACAGAGATAACACAGGGTGCCTATGTTCAGAATATTCTGTCTGATGGGAAGGGAAAGAAAACAAATAGCCAAATAACGGAGGAAAAAGTCTGCAGATTTTAAAAACAAGGAGGTGTATAAAGTCCCTCTCCAAGGGGCATCAATTACTTAAATTACTTAACCCACAGTGTTTCAGTGCTCAAATGTTTTCAAGATTTTAAGAATCCAGAATAGTTACAGTTAGTCTTAAGTCTGGGTTTCATTCATCAAACCTGTAATCAAATACCTTCTTGACTTCATTTGAGCTTTAATGGTTGAGTGGTGTTTATAACCCAATTTACTAGGCATAGAGGCCTGTGGGGGGGGGAGGAGGGGTTTACTTCACCAATTCCAGATTGTAGTCATACAAAAAAGACCCAGGAGGCCAGTTTTATAAAGACCAACTTCACCTTTTTATGCTGGTAGCAACAAGCTAAAGGCATTGCAACCCTGAAGCCCAGAGTTATTCTCTGGGGTTTCTGGGGTTTTCATTTATCCCCTGGGATCTCCAAAGAATGCCCACTGGTGTGACCTTATTTACTTATAGATAGATGATACTGACATAAAACAGTCGTTCTAGCTAGAAAAGATAATCTGATCTCATGGAAGTAGAGAGTAGAACAGTGGTTACCAGAAGCTGGCAGGAGGAGAGGAGAAGAGGGGAATGGAGGGAGGTTTAGTGTAAGGTACAAAAACAGGAAGAGAAAGTCCTGGTGTTCTGCAGCATGGCAGGGTGACTACAGCTAACACTAATTTATTGTGTATTTGTATATTTCAAAATAGCCAGATGGAAGGACTTTGAATGTTCCCAACACAAGAAACAATAAATGCCAAAGGTGACAGATATGCTAATTACCAGGATGGGATCATTACATACTGTATAAATGTACTGCAATATCTAAAGTACCCCACAAATACAAATATGATTATTATACGTCAATTAAAAATTTTAAAAAAAATCAAGCTAGCTAGATGCTCACTCCAGATGAGGCACTATGCTCTGTATTTTGTAGCTATCATCTCATTTTTCTCTTCAGTATCCCTATGGTGTGGATATTATGATTTATCTTCATTTTATAAATGAGGACATGAGGGCTTGGAGAGGTCATGAATCTTGTCGAAGGCCACACAATTAAAACATGGTGGCTCTGGTATTCTATACAATATCTTCTGCATTCTTTTCTAAAACAAATATTAATGGGAGCAACTTATATCCCAAGTAGAAACCCTCAAATAAGTGGCTCAAACATTGATTATCCATAACTATCTGTCCAGAAGCCCTGGTCATCCCTACCCGCCAGGTCCCTCACAGGGCTCAGCTCCACAGGAATGCATTGGTTTTTATCTCCTGGACAACTTGTACCCTGCTCTGAACAGGGAGGGGACTATCAGAGGTTCAAGAGCTTTGCTGCCCAGTGCTGCAGACACCCTGATAAAAGCAGAGCAGGCAGGAATCTGGATGCAAAATAAAAATAGGGAAAAGTAGAAATAAAGAGAGAGAAAGCAAAGAACCTGTTAGGAACTGAAAAATAAAACTTGTTCCCATTCTTAAAAGATATTTTCTTGGAATTAGTACAACTGCTCTAAAAAAAAAAATGAGTTGTTTCCATTTAAGCAGAACAAAAAAGGTAACAAGGCTCAAATCAACTTTAAGGAAGTAGATGCTTGACACAATTTACGCACTTTCAGGGCTGCTTTAAAACAAAAGTGCATACTGAAGATGACAGTGTGGATATATATCTATGTTTCATTCTACCATTTCCAGTTGGTGCTCACAATTCTTCAATTTTTTAATAGGAGGAATTAGTTTTCATTCCAAAGGAAAATAGCAATTTAGAAGATTTTATGAAGCTATGGGCAGACAACATTTCACACGAGGTATCCTGGTATTAGATCACATTTCACAATATTATCTGTATATGCTTCAGCACAAGCTGATCACTCCTCCAAGTATTAACACCGAGTAGAAGAACTCCTTCATCATTATGGCCTTGTCACTGAGGTGAAGTTAAAGCCTGGGACAAGAGCCAATCTCTTCAAGGAAACAAATAAATACCTAATAGTGATGTAAGACTGTTGGTGAGCACTCCAAACCCCAAATACCCTAGTAGTCCTACAACTGTAATTTTATATTTAGTTCTTTACCAAACTTTATAGTTGAGATAGTTTTAGCATTCTAAGTCAAATAAACAAAACAATCCCCCTCCCCAAACCCATTATATCTCCCAATCTTCTGCTCTGAGTAGAAAACTTTAAAAGGGAATAGCTCCTCCCAGTTTTTTGATCAAAGTAGTTAATGCCAAAGTAGTATGACCTGCTAATGTTATAGGAATATGAATATTTTCAACAAAGCAGAATGCTAGTGCATTCTAAGGATTGTTTGTAACATCTGTGTCTAAAATAGGGTCCAATACAAGGAAGGAATCCTGGGGACAAGAAATCATGTAAGATTTTGTAAAGCCTTTAAACTGAATTTCTGCAACTGTAGTTCCATACATGTTTAAAATCACCTGTTCAGAATATTTCAACAGGGCAAGAGATGGATGTCTACAAAAAGTCTGTGGTTCGGGGGAGGGGGGACTTCACAAACCACAAGGTGAAATTTTAAACCACAGTATAGCTTCATTATCTGTTGGCCCTGGAATTCCCCTTGCTGAGAAGGCATTTGGAATAGGCAGCTCCAGTGAATGAAGTAAATATCACATCATCAGTAAAACGAGTATCCCTAGTATCCCGGCTATGCTATGCACAGCATGAAATGTGTTATCTATGGAGGGTGCCTGAAATCCGCCCTGTATGGCTCCCATCTTTTTCTTCTGACATCAAGAGGGAACCCTTTCCATATAGTCTATTTATGTAACTATGTGGACAAGGGTCTGTGGGTTTTCCATTACAAGCAAATTGATGATGTTTCTGTTTTCTGAAAAATTTCTTTCTTTCTTTTTTTTTTTTTTTAAAGAGAGAGTGAGAGAGGGGAGAGAGAGAGATAGAGAGAGAGAATTTTTTTTAATATTTATTTTTTAGTTCTCAGCAGACACAACATCTTTGTTGGTATGTGATGCTGAGGATCGAACCCGGGCCGCACTCATGCCAGACGAGCGCGCTACCGCTTGAGCCACATCCCCAGCCCTGAAAAATTTCTTTTTTAAAAATAAAATCCAGTCCCCATACTTACTGCACTTCCTCAAATCTGGGTCTGATCATTTAATTTTTAAAGCACCTGACTTTCATTAGTGTATTTCCTTCTCTCTGCTAACCTGTGATACATTCTTCTATGTTTAAGAGAAAACAGAAGTCCAACCAGAATATGAGGCAGAGTTTGAATACAGATTAAAGTCCAGTGTCTTTAAGGCTTTTCTTTTTAGGAAAGATCCAGAAGCACAGATTTATTCTCTCCAACAAGAGGTGGCTTTCTGAGTGGTACTCAGAGCTAGTGTAAATCTTTCAAATAAAGGAAAGTTAAATTTCAAACTGATATTCCAACAACAACAGCAAAAATATTCAAGAATTTAATCATGACTCCTTGGGCTGAAACGTTGCAGTGATATTTTTATGACCCACAAATTCCTAAGCTGATGCTGCTGTTCCAAGGGCCCACATCAAGTGGCTTAAAATGTGTGAAATGGATGATATTTCCTAAGATGCATCTTAGGAGTGACCTCATTCATAGGCATTATCACCAGTGATGAGTTGAAAATAAATGAATTCTGCCCCGAAGCTAAGCATGAAAGCATTTTAAAAATGTCTGGAGTAGTTTATATTCCAGACACACACTTCTCCCCTCCCAAAACGGCATTGGTGACATTTTTTCATTGCAGATGACATAGCTATGATATTACACACGCCATCACAGGGCTTGGAATCAGCTCTTTCTTTGAGAAAATGTCTACCTACTTCCCACTGGTTATTTAATTGGACTTGAAAAGTTTGACAATGTTTCTGTGGTTAAGACGGCCTCTCCCTCCTTAAACCGTAAGAACTAGTCTTTTCCATACACCATTTTAAACATCCTATTTATCTTTCTCCAAAACCACTGCTAATGTTGGCTGCTCCAAGAAACACTGCATTACATAAGAAAGGGGAAAAAAAAATATTTTCACAGAGCTATTGCCGACAAAGGGGAAAGAAATACTGGATGTCATTGAACCTAAATCATATTTTTCCAAGTTAAAATAAATACTGAAATTAAAGGAGAATTTATTTGAATCGTACAAACAAATCATCATATGTAAATTTGTCTAGGTATAAAATTTCCCCCAGAATTCAGCAGTTAGGGTTTTTAGGTTTGGAGAAAAATTACAAAGGATGAATAACCCTAAGATGAATAAAAATGTCATACAGGGTTTGAAAGGATTATATCAGCATCCAGTCGTCACCTGACTCCGGTTTTATGACTTCCACTTTGCTAAATAAAACCCACAAGCTGCTCCTCAGCCCAAAGAGTCATCAGCAAATGAAAGAGGATTTCTGACAGTTTTATTCACACTTCACATCAATGCTCATTTACTGCTTGTCTCCTGTATGTTGAAGGCTGTGTTGAGTTGTTTTATAGCCTATTTAATCCTATCATTACTATAACCTGGGGCAGCCAGAGGTACAAGGAGCTTTCTGGAATTCAAAGGATGGTGCTATTCCATAGCCCCCACCCAGCACTTGTTCCTCTGAATGCGTTATTTCCACTCTGTGTAAGCGCAGCCTTGACTTTGCTAGGGTACCTGCTTGGGGCTGTTCAGTCGATTTTCGGACCTCTTTGAAAAACCCTATTCAAATTTCAAGACCATCAGAAACTGACTTGTTTCTTTAGATGTACGGCATCCAAACACAGAGTGGTATTAATGTGAGGACCTCTGAAGGCAAGGTAATGCTACTTTAATGGCAATATCACCTAAGAGCATTTTACCTCATTTTAAATGAAAAGGTCTGTGATTTATAGCAAGGTAAGTCACTATACCATTTGCTAATCAAAGACCAGATGTGATCAGAATGAAAGAAAATCAAACCTGTGATAAGTGCCTTGTTCTTTAAAGAAAAGAAAATAGAAAAGCTCAGAACATGCTCATTTACCTGCATAGGGCCTCAATGGCATCTCTGTCCAAAAAATCATGTTCTCTCTTGACCGAGGTAATATCAATGGGGAAAAGGAGATCTATAAGAAAAATAAATACAAACATGTTATCAAGCTCAAGCTCGTAGGTTCTGGATAAACTGGCTCAGTTCACCAAAGTGGGGAGAAATCTCTCAAAGCAATGTGATTAGTATCTCTCATTTGCAGGAAGGTTCATTCTCTACCAACTTCTCTGAGGCTCTTGGAGAATAAAGCAGTTTAAAGCAATTCAGCATGAGCATCCTAAAAGAGCTCTAAAGTGGTCTGGAAACCCAAATGTTGCTTCATGTCAAAGTAAGGCAATAAATCTGTTATAATTTAAGCCAGAATGAATTGATAAGGAGTCTTTTTTTTTAATGTGGCTTACTTTTTTTTGTTTGTTTGTTTTTATTTTTAAATGCATGTCTTTGCTCACATATAATCAGGATAAGAAAAAAAAAATTAGGCCAAGGAAAGATCCAGAGGATAATGGCCAATGGTAGTCAGAGGGACTAGTGCATTTGTATGACATGGAGAGCTAAAGGGGATTCAAGACATGATATTTTAAAACAAATATTAACACTTCAATATGGATTCTCAGGAGTTTATACAACTCTCCCTAAAACAAAGGGCTAACTATAAAGTTACTGCAGGACAATAGAATCCCAGATCCCTTAATCTATGGAAGAGTTGAATTCTCTCAGAACAATGAAGAAGCTGTATCAGACTCAAAAGCAGAAAAGGTGGGAAAAAGTCAACTCAATGAAAGAATTTCCTTTTCTGTATTGCCTAAAAAGATCCCTTATAGACAGAGTAGAATAGTGGTTTTCAAGAGTCTAGGAAGCTGGGGGAGTGGTAGAAAGAGGATGGGTAACAGGTGTAGGGGTGTAGTTGAATAGAAAGAATAACTTCTAATGTTCTACAGCCCGCTAAAATAACCACAGGTTATTAACAATTCATAAACATAGGTTATAACAATTAATTGCATTTTCAAAAATGGATAATAGAGAGGATTTAAAATGTTCCCTACACAAAGAAACGCTAAACATTTGGAGCAAGATGCCAATTACTCTGTTCTGACCACTACACATTATATACATGCAACTGAAATGCTATACTGTGCTCCACATATGTGTGTACACACACACACACACACACTGTAGTAATCAATTAAAAATAAAAAATATATATTTAAAAAATGTGTCCCAGGTTTTGAAATAAAAATCCCTGAAATTAAATAGGTAAATATATCCAGGACAAGCAGAGGAGAAAGACCCCCAGCCTGGTTGTGGAAACTGAGAACAGCCCTTAAATTGCCACTAGATAAAGGCAAGCTATCGCCCTCTTTGGAGTTTAGCTATCAAAGTAAACAATGGGCCTTCACAGAAGAACACATACACAGCAACGAGTGTTGTGTAAAGCAACGTGAGTCAGGAATAGGTGGAAAAAAAGTCACCATAGAAGGATTACCATCATCTAAAAACCTTCTTTGGCCTTCAGAATGGCTAACGCTGCAATACTGGAAAAGATCTGGCCATCAGTAGTTTAGGAGCTGCAGGTGACTTGTGAAGTTCTAATTCCTGAGTTGGCTTCTAATTTATGATGGCTGATCTTAAAGAATGGTCTGGAACTCCTTATTCATAATAATCCATTTTCTAGGGATACTTGTTTAAAAACAATCACAATGAGTGTTAATTTATAGTCTATTCTTTTTCCTGAAAGCAACCGTGGGATTACTGATATTGTTTCTGAATGATAATACAGGCAGAACAGTGAAGTAGTTACAGCCCAAACTGATGAAGAGATGGACAGTCTAAGTCCCTCCTAGACAAATGACTTTAGTGGCTCTGCTACAGCAGAAACACAACGGGAGGCTTACAGTGAATATTGGCTCTTAGTGAATAAAAGCAAGACAACAATGCACCCTTGTTGTTAGTGTATTAAACAATAGAACTGCTATTATAGAATGAATTTTTAATACTTATATATAGTATAATGTCAAACCTATAAATGTAACTTAAAAGCTCCCATGCCTGTTAAGTATAAGGGAAAAAGCAACCGTATTATTTAGTAATTTCTAATTTAGTGTACCCAGAGCTGTATTTTAGATCACTTTTCTGATCCAAATTAACTATAATTCTGTTTTTTTTTAAATCCAGTAGTGATAATTAAATGTGAGCAGTAAAACAATTAAATCAACAATTTTCTCTTATTTACTCTCTTTTGAAAGATCTAGTTTCTAGAAGATAATAGTTCACTTGTGCATAGAAGTGTTCTGAATTCAACTTCCAGCTTGGTTGGGTTTAAAGGCAGGAAGTGTAAATTGCCAAGTACAAAAATAAAGCAAACAGGAAGACGAGGAATGTGGGGGTTGGTATGTGGTGTGTATGTGCTCACCCTGAACACAGTGGCAGGATGGACGGGGGAAATGATAGCCCAGAACAATGTACAGTGCACCTCAAAAGAGGGCTTACACTTCAAACGACTTGGGAGCATGAAAGGGCCCCCAAATGCCATCTGCATTTTAGGATGGTGAAAGAAGTAAGACAGAGACTTGAACTCGTTCTTAGCAAACAGACACAATCACAAGAAGGTGCCACCTGGCAGCAGATCAACACCCAAATCGACATAATTGAAGGAAATTTAATTTCTGAACAGGTGAGAAGGACAGACGCTGCGAATGCAATTATCATTCTCATATCCCGAGCTGTGAATTGAAAATCCAATTGATTGCTGTTCCTCACCCACCTCAAAGTCCTTTAAAGAATAAACAAATAAATTTAAAATTAAAAAAAATTAGAATAAATAAATAAATTTTAAAAAGTTCTTTAATAGCTCAAGAATTTTTCTAAAGGAAAGATAACTTGACTCTTATGACCATAAGACATAGGGCACTGAACCAACAACTTTTGAAAATGAGAAGAAATAAAACAAAACCAGAGGTTTTCTCTGAAATGGAGAAACAATAAGAGATTTCAGGGCTGAGGATGTGGCTCAGTAGTAGAGTGCTTGCCTAGTATATGTGAGGCCCTGGGTTCAATTCCCAGTACCAGGGGGAAAAAAATAAAATGAAAAATATTTGTTAATGTGAGCTACCAGGAGGAAAGATCATGTGTTGCAAATTAGAAATGACTTTACCATTCGTGCAACTTTGAAAATTATCCATAAAATGGAATTTGCTCATTCACAGCTGTAACTATTTTAAAGCAAACTCATATGGAGTGTAATAAAACTCCTATTTAAATGAATGACTTATTCCTTTTGACATGCACAGAGTACACATAATCTATTTTGGTACCCAGAGGCTCAGAGAATGAGCCAGATTTGAGGCCCCATAGCCTCAGCATATAGTCACCTACAGGGCACTAATGAGAAGATGATATGAAAAACATTTAGTCCAGATATTGATTTTTTTTTACAAGGTTCATTTTTCTTAATTAAGAAATTGACTGTTACAAAAAAATTAAAATCAAAAGACAACCTAAAGAAGAGTGGAATGCTTAATTACAAATGGAGGAAAAGACAGTGGCAACTCATGACCCACAAGGATGAGAATGTAGAATTGAGAGCCCTTAGAAATCATTTTAAAAAATCACATAGCTGAGTGTGGTGGTGCACAACTGTAATCCCAGCGGTTTGGGAGGCCGAGGCAGGAGAATCACGAGTTCAAAGCCAGCCTCAGCAGTTTAGCGAGGTGCTAAGCAACTCAGTGAGACCCTGTCTCTAAATAAAATACAAAATAGGGCTGGGGCTGTTGCTTAGTGGTCAAGTGCCCCTGAGTTCAATCCCCAGTACCCCCCCCCCCAAAAAAAATCACAATCAACTTAGGAGGATGATAGGCCTGAGACATTTCAAAGAAAATCAAACACATGGCCATAAAATGAATAATTGTTTATTTTTGTTAATGCTAAGGGAAATGGAAGTGAAAATCTATTCAATATCATTTTATATCCATTTGATTGGCAAAAATTAAAGTCTGACAATATCAAGTATTGAGTGTATGTGGACAGGCAGGATCTTTATATGTGATTGGCAGGAGTGAAAATTGGTATGCGCACTGAAGGAAAATTTGCATTATGCAAGTTTTTTAAATTACCAAACAGCTCTCTTCCTAGGAATACCCACAAAATAAATATACACACACTTCCAGAGAAAGGTACAAGAATGTTCAAAACAGCACACTTTGTAAAAGCAAAACAACTGAAATGCCCACCCATCAGAGTGTGGACAGGAATAAACTGCAGTGGTCTATTCACAAGATAGGGTAGCATGCCTGAACTGTGGGGACACACAATTTAGAAAAATCTTTTTAAAAAAAAAACAAAAAACATTTATTTGCTTTTAAAGTCTTTAAATCACTTTGTTTTTTTTTTTT